TTTTTTTTTTTTTTTTTTTTTTTTTTTTTTTTTTTTTTCCCGGTACCAGGGATCAAACTCTGGTCCTTGCACTTGTAGGGCAGGTGGTGGAACCACTGAGCTAAATCCCTGGCACACACCATTACTGTTTATCTACTGTGGTGCTTTGGAATTTTATCAGTTTTCTCTAAGCAAATTTTGAGCATCAGTATTAGTAGTACTACTAATATTTTAATATGTATTTTTGAAGTGTTCCTCTTTGGCCATCGTAACAAATAACTGGTTGATCTATATTAAGACATTACAAACACACAAAGCGGGGACAACAGTGCACCTCTTTGAGTACTGGAAGGACAAAATCCTAGTACACCAGTCTGATTCTCAGGTGCAACCTGGTCTGCTTGTGAAAATGGACATTTTCATATTTACTGATGCTTTAATTATCTGTTGAAATTCTGCCTTCTGTATTATTAAAGCATTAAAATATATTTTAGGTTGGAAAAGAATATATAGGAGCTGAGATCAATGATGTGGTGTGTAGTCCCAGCTATCAGGGAAGCTAAGTCAAAAGGATGTCTGGGTTCCAGGAGCTGAAGGCCAGCCTGGCCAACATAATGAGACCCTGCCTGCCTTTAAATACACGACAGATGATGGATTCCATGGGTGGGTCTATGGACAGATGGATGAGACAGATAAATAGGGTAACAATAAAACCCTCAGTAGTCATACCCGGTGAGAATGTTTTCCTTCTACATCTTTGTATGTAAGTTCACCCAGATTCTCTTTTCCTCTCTTCACTGTTCTGTTCTGTTCTAGTCTTTTCTCTCTTCCTTCGCAATATGCATATAAAAATGACTGAACATTGTGCTTTTTTGGAACCTGAGTTGTTTTGCACTTAACTATATTATCACAAGCATATTTCTACTCATACAGAAAATGTATTTCTGTATATTTTTTGGAGACAAGATTGCACTGTGTTGTCAAGGCAAACCTCAGAGTCAGAACTCTTCTGCCTCAGCCTCCTGAGTAGCTGGGCCTACATCGCCTGCCACTGTGTCCAGCATTTCTGTCATTTGCATTGGTAACATAGGATTCAGTAGTCTACATAAGAATTAATTACCTTGTTCATAATTGAGGTTGGCTGCAGTGTTTACTATTAAAATAGTGCTTGGTTGAACATCTTACAGAGATATGTTTGTACCTAATTTTTTTTCCATTGAGTTTATTGGTACACTTTAGGTATACAATACAGTTACATTCATTGTTGGGATCTTGTACCTCTACATGATATATCTTGGTTCTTATTTTTTCCCCATTCTCTTGCCCTCCCTTCACCCCCTCCAATCCCTCCCTCTCTATTTACAAAGACTTTGTTTTCTTTTTCCTTTTCTCATACTTTTCCCTTTCCCTTCTTTCCTTTCCCCAATCCCTCCCACTTCCTCTATACCTTTAGACCCTTTCTTCCTATTTCACATTATCAGTTATACACTTGATCCTTACCCACATTTAGTCTCTCTGTACTTAATCTTCATGCTTTCTTAATGTTCAAAGTGGAATTGCTGATCTCCAAAACAGATGCATTTATAAACTTTTTGAAACATGTTGCCAAATATGTCTCACCAGGGTACATAAGCTTTCTACACTCTCTTCAAATGTAGTTATCATGCATGGTGGATGCCCTGTAGCATGAGTGGAAGTCCTGGCAGTGTTAAACAACTGCCCATACATGTTGGCCATTGGCCTTTTGGAATGTTCGGTGTACTGCTTTTCTTCAGTCTTTTTCCTATTTCTTGTAGATACATTAATCTTTTGTTTTGTTTTTTTTTGATGTGTCAAGATTTTGCATAAAATTAAGAATAATAACCCTTTCACATACTATAGATTTCCCTGTTTTTTATTTGCCTTTTAATTTACTGTTTTTGTTATTCAGAGATTTTTTTTAATTTTGTGTGTATGTGAATTCTGGCCACAGTTTTTATGATTGGTATCATTTATTCCTTCAAAAGTATTTTTTGTAGCCCTCTTCATTATGGCAGCTATTGTGCCAAGCACTGAGGCTAAACAGTGAATAATGTTAGCATCTAGTGAGTACTTGCTCTAAGTTCCATAAATTCATAGATGAGAAAATTTCATTTATAAATGAGAAAACTGGGGAATAGAAGTCAAGTAACTTGCTCAAAGCCATAGATTGTGTAAGTAGGAAACCAAAATGTGAATATGGCAGTCTAACCCCAGAGCCTCATTTATAGTTATATTTTGTACTGTCTCCCAGCACAGCAGATAGTAAATCCAAATGGCCTGTGTTCTCACAAAAGCTTATGTTAAACAAATAATTTCAAACATGATGAATAATCTGTGTCAGGGGGTGACATCAATCCTAATCTGTGACAAACCAAAGAAAGTGAAGAACCAAGCAAGACTGTGTCTTAAAATTCCTTTCCTACCTTCTGACTCTATAAACTGCCAAGTAAATCTTTAAGGATTTTTAATATTTTATGTTGTTGAGGCCAGGGATTTAGCTCAGTGGTTCTAGTGCCCTGCCTTGCAAGCACAAGGACCTGAGTTCGAACCCTGGTACCAAAAAAAATTATATTTTATGTTGTTCAGTATATCTTCCATGTATCTATATTTTTGAACATGGCCTGTTTTGAGTTCTAACTTCACTTTTAGGTAACTAATTGTAGTTTAGCTTTATTGTTGGATGTTATATCTTTGTCAAGTCACTTTTTCTGTACTGAAATTTCTAAATACAGACTCCACCAAAAAACAGGAAGAGAAAAATAGCAAATGTCTGGAAGCTAATGGCCACCTACTTTGAGCATCTCTTGTAATTGCAGAGGCCAAAGGCAACTTGTATTAGTCTCGTGATGTCTCAATAAATTTAAAGTATTTATACAAGTTTTACTTTTCCTGACGTGTATGTACAGTTTTGGGTGGACTTTGTGTACTAAGTTGATTTGTTTCCACTTTGCACCATTCTGCTTTTTATTGTGGTAAAGTCACATGTATGGTTGCTCTGCTGCTGGGTGTCTATGGTCAGCTCACCATCCGCCGTTACCTAATGTCCTTGTGTCTTGCGATAGTATGTGACTTCAGGTTTTATTTTGTCTAACTGGACTTTTGGGAACCATTTGTGGGGGAGGCCTTTTTCCATCTTTTAACTTTCAGTCTCTGTGTGTCCTCAAATTGAAAGTGAGTTTCTTACAGAGAATATACACTGTTGCTTGAATCTTGCTTTTTAATCCATTCAGTCAAGCTATGTTGTTTGGCTAGGGAACTCTCCTGCTGTTTCCCTCTGTGCTTTTTTTTTAACTTTTTATAAACAACATGCTTTGATTCTCTTGTCATTTTCATTCCTGTATCTTCCGTAGATCTTTTATTTGTGGTTTCCACAAAACAGTGTTTTAAATCAATAACACTTAACTTCAATCTCTACCCATTTCATTTCCTTCTCTGCACTTTGCTTTAATGTCACAAATTACATGTTTTTTATAGTGTATGTATATTCACTTGGTTAATAAGTTTATTTTTATTTTATCTTTTAAATTCAATACCTGCATTAAAAGTTCTTCACTTACCACCCTAACAGTATTACAAGATTCTGTAATTGTCTGTATGTTCACCTTTAGCATAAAGGCTTGTATTTTTATACTCGTTTGTGTTGTCCCCTAAGTACTCACACCTCCTGGAAGGCAGGTCCACACCTGATGGATTTGTTCAACTTTCATGTATCTGGAAGACTATTTTTCTCCTTCCTTTCTGGAAGACGGATTGGAGTTGCTGAATGCCATGCTCTTGGTTGGCAGGGCTGTTCCTCCAGCACTCAGGGTGCTTTACCCACCCTATGGGGTCTGTAGGGCGTCATCTGCTGACTCGGCAGACTCCTGGAAGCTCCCGTGTGAGGCAAGGTGCTTTGTCATTGAAACACCCTGTTTGCTTGAAGGTGTCTTCAAGACCTGTTTGCCTGTGACGTTGACAGTTTGATGCCAGAGACTCCAATCTCTCTGTTCACCCTAGTTGGTTTCTTTGAGCTTTTTCCTAAGTCCATTTGTTCCTCACATTTGAGAAGCCTGGGGCCGTTCCTCATCACTTTTCCCCTGTGACACACTGTATGTCCCTGAGGATCTCCACAATAAACTATCCCCTTTCACTGACTTTTTTTCTTTTTTTTTTTTTTGTACCAGGGATGGAACTCGGGACCTTGTGCTTGCAAGGCAGGTGGCGGCACCACTGAGCCAAATCCCCGGCCTTCATTGGTGCTTTTGTGCTTAGTGCAGCCTATTACCAATCCCTTCTGGACATTGTATTTGTCAGTTTTAGAATTTCTGTATTTTTTTATACACAGTTTCTATCTCGTTGTTGTTCTCATTTTTATGTATGCGTCATTCCCTGATTTAGTTGGCCTTCTTGTTCTTATGAAACTTAAGATACTATTGTTTATTTGTTTTACTGTCTGTCTGTCTGTTTGTTTGTTTGTTTGTTTTTACAGTGCTGGGGCTTGAAGCCAGGGCCTGAGGAATGTTAGGCAACTGCTCTCCCACTGAGCTCCCTCCCTTAGCTTTATCTTGAATTCTTTGTCAGTTAGTTCACAGCTGTTCCTCTGCTTAGGGTCAGTGTCTGGAAATGGAGTTTGCTCCTCCTGAGTTGGCCGTGTATCCTGTTTCTGTGGGTGTGCTGCGACTCTATTCCAGGACCTGGCGTTTGAGGAGGAGTTTGCTGGTGGATACCATGCTCAGGACTGGCCACATGGCCACCACTGGGTGCTGCCGTTGGCCCCTCCGGGCTTGGACTGGCAGCACTCCATTCAGACAGGTTTCTCGGTGCCTTCATCTGGAGCTTTTGCTCCCTTTTGTCTGTGCACTGCAGGTTCCCCGATTTTGGAGCCTTCCCTGACCTCTTCCTTGTTCTTAGCAGCTCTCGGGTGTCAACAGCACTACACAGGCTTCAAGGCGGAATGGGGAGGCCAGTGCCTTGGGCAGCCTCTAGACACTGCTCCTTTCTCCTCATCTCCTCCCGATAGAGTAGTGGTAGGTCTGGGGCTTTCCCCTATTTTTGCCAACCTATGCCAGCTTAGGGAAGGACTCTGACGGCATCATGCAGCAGCTGCTCTCGCCGCGCGTGCCTCTCTTTCTGGCTCTGCGCACGCCTGGGCTGCTGCATTTCCTCACTCTCCACAGTGTTGCATTGAGGCTTTTGGACCACATACTGATGCTCACCCCAGTCTGCAGGTGGTCAGGGTTTGGGCTTCTCCTCACCACCTTGCTGACACTGCAGTTTTATTATTTTTCATTTTTAAAAAATCCTAAAATAGACATTTACATCCTTCAGCACAGAGATGGTGAACCTCTTTGTTTTTTTCCTTTTTGGTGCCAGGGATCAAACTTGGAACCTTGCACTTGCAAGGCAGATGGCAGAACCACTGAGCTAAATCCCCGGCCCTGGTGAACCTTTTAGAGAATGAGTGTCCAAACTGCAACCAAAAACCCACTTATTTATTGCAAAGTGCCAACGCTGCAATTAAACCTGAATCCCCAGCTTTTTGGGTGATGCTGGGCGACTTGGGGCGCATGCTGATAGGGCTCTGTGTGTCCGCTGTACCACGAGAGCCGTAGATACATCACTGCTTTAGCAAGTCCAATACCCAGAGGAGAACTGAACTTACTTTGTAACTGAGGACCAGAGGTTTTTTTATCTTTTTTTTTTAACTTACTCCTATGAACTGCAAATGTGAATACATAATATCTATGGATAAAATACGTATTGGAAACTCATTTGCCCCAGAATAAAATTATTTTACTCCGTTGTTATTTAGTTGTTTACTTTGCACAATAGCACATCAAAGAAGGATTGTAAACAGAGCCTCGGGGGTCACACGCCGAGAGCCACCAGTCTTCCCCGTGGCTTTCTCTCCAGTCTTCCACCTCACTTGAGCTCCTAGGTGAGCGCGAGAGTGTATACACTGTGGATTATCACCTGTTGTCTGGCCCGTACAAGGGGGAATTTGAGTTGTGTATATATTTTAAATTATTGGAGAGTAGACATTTAATTTCAATTAGATCCAAATATGTTTTCATATCTCACTATTAAAGGTCCAATTTATTTGTTCTACAAAATGTTACTTAGCATAAACGACCTAGATTTGATTTTCTGATAGGAAAATGTTTCTCTGTAAAAACTATTTTTCTTTGTGTGCCTTACAGGTAGCATACTTAATAATGTCCTATCAACTTTATGGGACGTATTTGTTGGTGTGCTAGTAGGAGCTGTTTTCGGATTTTTTGTTCAGTATTTTCCAAGTGAAGATCAGGTAAATTTAAAAAGTCATATATTCTATAAAACTGCAGTATGTTACTTTTCCATCACTATAGTGAACAACCTGAGACGGTTAACTTCTAAGCATGAAGGTTTGCTCTGGCTCACAGTTTGAAGGTTCTATTCCATGATCACCTGCCCCATCACTGTGAACCTATGTCATGGCAGGAGTACACAGCAGAACCAATTCATTAACATTAGGAGCCAGGCAGCAAAAGAGAGAGAAGGGGCTGGGGTCCCACTGTCCCCTTAATGAGCATGCCCAGATGGGCCCGAGGACCTCTGACGAGTCTTCCCCAGGGCCTCTCCCTGGGAAGCATACCTCCAACAACATGCAAACCACAGCATGTGATATTAGACATTTCTTTCCAAGAGCTGAACTTTGGAAAAGTCTGTGAAATATTAAATTCCATACTTAACCCTCCACGCCTACTGTCTGCTTAAAACTGAGCACAGTCATGCTCGGTACAGTTGACAGTGGCCTTGACTAATGTCTCTGCTTCCCGTTTTGTCAAATAAGGAATAGCAGGAAAATGTACTTAAATCTGAGTATCTCTTCTTCACTAAATTGCCTATTAAGTTTGACAATTTTTCCTAATCTTATTTCCCTTAAACGTTTTTGGGAAAAGATAGCTCCCCATTTATCTCTGCATATTTTCTGACATAAATTTGTTCCTGCTCTTCTTTTCAGAGTCTTTTTTTGGTCCCAGGATTGAACTCAGTATCTTGTACTTGCGAGGCATGTGGCAGCACCACTGAGCTAAACCCCTGGCCCTGGAGTCAACATTATTAAACTTAACACTTTCCTGCTGTAAAGGATATACTGTTACTCTTGTATTTTGATGACTCCTACCTGAACTTACCTTTAACAATTATTTTGACTAAAGAGATATTAAAAATTTATTTTTAGAATTTTGGTGGATCGCTTATATAAAACTAAAAATTATATGGATTTCTCCTTCGCTTTCAGTTAAAATGTTATAGCCACTTTATTGATACCAGTATCAGACATATGTCAGAAAATGAAAGTTTAATATTTGTAAATTGTATTACTAGAGATCAAATTTGCTGAAATACTTAGGAAGAAAATCAACATTTTAGACACTAACATTGAGGGACATGATAGAAAAAGGTCAAAAATAAATTATAGATGATGCCAAATTTTGTGTTTAATGTAAACCAATTTCTAAATATCTGTTTCTAGGAAAAAGTTCCAATGAAGAGAGCATTCCTTATTTTGAGTATGTCTATTTCTGCTGTATTAGGCAGCCAGCATATTGGTTTACACGGAGCTGGAGGATTATTCACGGTAGTGTTGTCTTTCACTGCAGGGTTAAAATGGGCCAAAGAGAAGGTGAATATTTTTTAAAAGATAAAATAACTTAGTTTATGTGTGTGTGTGTGTGTGTGTGTGTGTGTGTGTGTGTGTGTGTGTATCATGATGAGCAAAGTGTATGAATCAGTCAAGGAACTAAAATATTTAGGAAAAGTACCTAGGAATTCCTGGGTGTTTAATTTTTCAGTCTACCATGAATGAAATTGCTTTCCTGACTTTTCCTTGGTGTAAAGGAATGCTCTTTGTTTTCATGTGTTGATTTTGTATCCTGCCACTTTGCTGAACTAGTTTATTAGCTCTAAGATTCTTCAGGTGGAGTTTTTGTGTCCTCTGTGTAGAGGTTCATATCATCTGCAAATAAAGATAGTGTAACTTCTTCCTTTTCTGTTCACATCCCTTGTCTTTTTTATTCTTGCCTGATTGTTCTGCTTGAAAGTTCAACTACAGTTGAACAGAATGAGATTGTACAAAAAAAGAGAGAGATTGTACACCCTTGTCTTGTTTCTGATTTTTGAGGGAATGTTTTCAGTTTTTCCCCATCTAGTGTGATGATGGCTACGGGTTTGTCGAAAATGGCTTTTACTGGTTAACTTTAAGGTTGTTCTTTACCTATTTTTACCAGTGTCTTTATCCTGAGTGAATGTTGGTTTTGTCAAAGGCTTTTTCTGCATCTCTTAAGAAGACCACATCATTTTATCCTTATTTATGTGACATATCACATTTATTAATGTATGTATCTTGTACCATCCTTGCAGCCCTAGGATAAAGCCAACCTTGGTCATGATGTATGATGTTGTTAATGATTTGTTGGATTTTGTTTGCAAGTATCTTGTTGAAGAGCTTTGCATCTGTGGTCATCGAAGATACCGGCCTGCAGTAGCATTGTTTTTGTTTCTGCTGCTGTTGTTGAGTCCTTGCCTGGTTTTGACATCAGGGTGATGCTGGTTTCATAGAATGAGTGTGCTGGTGTTCTGTCTTCCAGTTTCATTAAGAGTATGAGGAATTTTGGCATTAGTTCTGTGCTGTAATTCTGGTAAAATTTAGCAGTGAATCCATTTGGTGCTGGGCTTTTCTTAGTTGGTGGGGTGTTTTTTGTTTTGTTTTGTTTTTTCTTCCTCAGTGCCATTGCCGGTTATTAATTTTTTCAGGTTTTTTTTTTTTTTTTTTTTTTGGTACCAGGGATTGAACTCGGGTCCTTGTGCTTTCGAGGCAGGTGGCAGCACCACTGAGCTATTCAGGATTTTTATATCTTCTTGGTTCAATTTTGGTAAAAATCCCTTTCTTTGAGATTCTCCAGTTTGTTGGAATAACAGTTTTCAAAATTTTTTATAATCCTCTGGGTTTCAGTGGTGTCTGCTGATTTCACATTTTTCATCTCTAATTGCGTTGATACCTTTTTTTTTTTTTTTTTTTTTTTTTTTT